CGGGGTGCCCCGGGGCAGGGTGGGGGGATTGCTGGGCAGGGCGGACGGGGTGACATCTCCAGGGCAGGATCTGGACCAGCCGGTAGCGGGGGATTCTTGAGATGGGACTCTTGGGAGGGTGCTGGTTTCTACAGGACTGGGGGGGATATGCAGGGAGCAGCTCCAGAAGGGTCATGACCGTGGGGCAGGGGCAAAGGACCCCCATCCTGAGGATCCCCCACACCCCAGGCAATGGGAGCCACCCTGCGGTGCCAGAGCAAAGGGCCCTTCCTGGGTGTGGTCCTGGGAGCAGGATGAGGAGAATCCACTGGTCATGGAACCCTTGGGAAGCAAGATGAAGGGTGTCAGTGGGAACCCCATGGGTCAGGGTGATCCTGGGAGCAGGATAATGGGTTACTATTGGTCACAGAACCCTTGGGAAGCAGGATGAGTGGTGTTGGTGGGATCCCCATGGGTCAGGGTAGTCAGGTAGCAGCATAGTGGGTGTCCATTGATCATGGAAGCCTTGGGAAGCAGGATGAGGAGTGTCTCTGGAACCCCATGGTTCAGGGTGGTCACAGAACAGGATGAGGAGTGTCTGTGGGAATCCATGGGTCAGGATGGTCATGGGACCAGAATGAGGAGTGTCTGTGGGGTCCAAATGGGTCAAGGTTCATGGTGGTGGTGTGGTGGCCATGGGAGTTCCACAGTCCCAAGAGGGAGGTCCCATTCCATCCTATCCCATTCCAAACCTTGTTCCCACTGCCAGCCCCATGGAGGCGGGGCCCAAATCCTTCCCGCCCCTGGCCATGGGGCTCAGCCCCACAGCATTTAGGGACCCCCACCCCAAGCCTCGGCAGTGCCTGCCTGGCCTTGCGCTCCTCCAGCTTCCACACAAGCTCCCAGGTAAGTGCTGTGGGGTCCCCAAAACTGGCACTCCCTGCATGGCACCCCTCTGACACCCCCCATGCTGGTGGGGGCTGTGGGGCACGGGGGTGTTCCCTCGGGGAAGGGTGGGTGTTTGGGCACAAAGAAGAGGGTGCAGCTGAGGGGCTGCAGCTCTGCCCCCCAGATTTGGGGGTGTCTTGTCCCTGAGGTCCCCATAGGTGACCCTACATCAGCAGGGCAGCCTGGGCAGGTCAGTGTCTGGAGGATGGTGATTATCCTGGGAATCCCAGGCATCTCCCAGGGCCTCCGGCAGCTGCCCTGGCTTGAGTCACCCCACAACCAGGACGGCCCCAAGCACCAAGCTGCCCTTCAAAGGTGCCGTGGGTGACTCCTATTGGGATCGAGCCGGCATCTCCAGCACTTCCATCCTGGCATAACCCACCCAGTGTCTCTCTCCAGGGCCACCACACTCTCCATGGAGACCAGCAGCTCCTTCCAACAGCTTGGCATGCAGCAGCGCCCTGAGCCGCCCAGGCAGCAGCTCCCGGGCTATGGCAAGTGCAGCACCACAGGCGGTGATCCTGGCAAAGATCCTGGGAAAGCTGCTGGGTGCAGTGGAGGCAGCGGGATCGGGAAGGGGCCAGTGCCAATGGTCTGCAGCACTCCATGGTGAGAGCGAGGGGCTGGGGGCAGGAGGGGGACAGGGAGGTGGGCAGGGGAAGCTGTGGCAGTGCCAGGGGAATGGGGACCCCAGGTTGGTGATGGGGGAAATGTCTGAGGTCTGTGAGCCACCACATCCCAGCATGGTCCAAGGGAGAAGACAGGATCTGCTGGGAATGGTGCTGTGTTGGGCTACTCCCAGCAGTAAGGGAGACAGGTGTGTGTGGACTCCTTGCCCTGTCCCTGGGGAATCTGGAGTCCAGTTTGATGCTGGGATAACATGGATCTGGGATGATGTGAAGCTCTGGGGAGGTAGAATAGGGCTGGGTCCCCTCTAACACCCTTGTTCCTGCAGTGGGAACCCTTACGCAGGGCTGGTGAGCCACCTGCGGGCATCCTGGAACTCGGGGAAGACGCGGCCCATGGAATACCGTGTTGCCCAGCTGGAGGCTCTGGGACGATTCCTGGATGATAAGAAGCAGGAGATCCTGGAAGCCACTGAATTGGACATGGGCAAGGTAAGAGGGGCTGAGAATTGGGGGCCACTGGCATCACATCTCTGAAGTCCTTCATACACCCTTATCTGGGTATTGCATCCTTGTGGGGGTCTGGGCAGAGGGGTGTCCCTTCCTTGGGGTCCTGCTTCCTCCTTGATGTGCTCCCAGGCTGGTGCATCTGTAAGTGCTGGATCTCTGCAGATCCAGGGATAGCGGCAGGACTGTGCTGTTGATCCCATCCCTGGTGCCCTGAAACCAAAGGCCCTGTTGGCTTGTTGGTGACCGGCCAAGGTGGGAGTGTTCCACACTCTGGTCTGTATCCTGGGGGTCCATGTGACCTCCACAGAGGTGACATCCTGGGGTGCCCCTTGCCAGCCTGGCACACCCAGGATTACTGGCATTGTGAAATGTGCTGGCACTGCACATTCCTCCCAGGGCCTCCAAGGGACTGGTTTCACTGGCATGGTGGCATGGGCAGGGCTCTGGATATGGCTCAAGATATTGTGGCATGCCAGGAGCTCCTGGATGATCTGCTGGTGAAGTGTGAGCATCTGCACCATGGATAATTCTAGTGGTCTCAGCTCATCATCCCTGGAAGTGTTCAAAGCCAGGCTGGATGGGGCTTGGAGCAACCTGGACTAGTGGAAGGTGTCCCTGCCCATGACAGGGCAGAATTGGATGAGCTTCAAGGTCCCTCCCAATCCAAACCATTACAGGATTCCATGATATGATCCATACCGCT